CGTTTGATTTTTTTCCACAATTATTTTTTTTTTTTATTTTTTGCCACAGATTTTTTTATTATTTTAAAAAAATAACCCACCCTATATATATGACTATTTTTTTACAAGTGAGAGAGTAAATAAGTAAAACATATTACACCATTATTTAATTTGAGATAATCATCGTGAGACCTGCTGCTTATGACTTTTGACGCTTCCGATTGGCGTTGGTCTTCTCGGCAATTGTCTCGTTTACCGTAGGCGATTTCTTCACGATATATTGTCGTCCAATTACATTGAGCTCTTGTTCGGCTCGGCAACGGGCGGACTCGACATCTGGGGGCCCGGTCGGCTTTTAGATGATCAGTCTTGTGTGCCTGTTTGTATATTTATTTATTACGTATTTTCGGCTCCTTGGTTATCGGGCCATATTTTATTATTTCGTTTATAATTTAATTAATAGGAGCCAAATTGGGTATCAACAAGTTCCACTCAATTTCATGTTTAGTAATATTTGATCTATAATTGAATTTTTTATGTTTAAAAAAATATTTTTAAAATGGAATGAAATGTTAAAAAATATTTTTTTTAAAAAAAAAAAAATTCAAACTTTACATAAACTTGTTGAATACTTAGTCTTATTCTATCTTATAATTAACACGGTATGGAAGGTTAAAGAAATATTATTTAAAAACTGAAAAAAATTTTAGTAATCTCCGAATATCGGTACGATTCCGGAGATTGTGGAGATTTGTCAATCTCCGAACCACACCGACCTATGCTCACCCCTACTTTCACCTGCCCCCGCGTGGCATGTTGATACATAAATTTAATTCATATTATGTTGATACATAAATTGAATTCATATGTGCATGTCTATGTAGACCTGCTTTCATTTGTTATCTAATACAAAAATGCATGTGATAGATAAAATTATGGCCACCTATTCTATGGCACAATCCATGTGAGTGACCCAATTGTTGTTAACTCCACACAATTTAGATGGCATTTGTCCAAGGAGTTCGTTTATTTTGAAACTAACCTATTGCTGAAGTCGACAAACGAGTCAAGTCGAACACAAACTTTTGATATTCGAGCTTGGGCTTCAGCATCGAGCCAAACTAACCTCGAATCGTCAACTAAATCAAATCAAGCTCAACTCGTTTGTGTTAACAAAATTGAGCCTTAACAAGTCGAATTAAACTAAAATTTCATTAAATTACGCAAAAAAAATCTTATTCTCAAGCATAAACTAAATAATCTCGAGCTCAGCTTA